AAAAAAAAAAAAAAAAAAAAAAAAAGTAATACATGAATTTTCACAGTTTTGATGGATGTGCTTACTAAGGCTCTTTGCATAAGAGCAGTGGAAAACAGTTCTAGCTAGCTTACACAAAAATAATTTTTTTGCAGAGACACAGGTTTCTTCTAAAATCCAAGGGGAGAAATGCAGTTGAACTTCTCCCTCAAATCAAACATTGATCCATCCCTCTTTTCTCTACCTTCCCCCCTCCAACCCCCTGCTTATGCCCAGCCTCCACCCCCCATTCTCCCAGCCCCACCACCTCCCATCCAAGCTACCATTATTCAGCCTCCTAATTTGTCTCCTGGCTTTTCTTGTTCTGTGCTGCCCCCTCCCCAGTTTTCCACATAGCAGTACTTTTTTTTTTTGAGATGGCGTCTTGCTCTCTTGCCTTTATCCCATTCTTTTTAAGGGCCCTATTGTATTCCACAATTTTTACTTATTTTTCTTTTTTTCCTTGAGACAGTCTTGCTCTGTCACCCAAGCTGGAGTGCAATGGCATCATCTCGTCTCACGTTTGAATCCACCTCCACCACCTGGGTTCAAACAATTCTCCTGCCTCAGCCTCCCAAGTAGCTGGGATTACAGATGTCTGCCACCACACCCGGCTAATTTTTTGTATTTTTTTTTTTGAGACAGAGTCTCGCTCTGTCGCCAGGCACCATGCTGGATTGCAGTGGCGTGATCTCGGCTTACCTCTACCTCCACCTCCTGGGTTCAAGCAATTCTCCTGCCTCAGCCTCCTGAGTAGCTGGGACTACAGGTGCGCGCCACCACGCCCAGCTAATTTTTGTATTTTTAGTAGAGACGGGGTTTCACCATGTTGGCCAGGATGGTCTCAGTCTCCTGACCTCGTGATCTGCCTGCCTCGGCCTCCCAAAGTGCTAGTATTACAGGTGTGAGCCACCAAGCCTGGCCAATTTTTTGGAATTTTTAGTAAAGACAGTGTTTCATCATGCTGGCCAGGCTGGTCTTGAACTCCGGACTTTGTGATCTGCCTGCCTTGGCCTCACAAAGTGCTGGATTATAGGTGTGAGCCACCACGCCCAGCCCACAATTATTTATTTTTATTTTTATTTTTTTGAGACGGAGTTTTGCTCTTGTTGCCCAGGCTAGAATGCAATGGCCTGGTCTTGGCTCACTGCAGCCTCTGCCACCCGGGTCCACGCAATTCTCCTGTCTCAGCTCCTGAGTATCTGGGACTACAGGTGCATGCCAAAGTACAAGTTTATGTTTAGAGATGGGGTTTCACCATCTTGGTCAGGCTAGTCTCGAACTCCTGACCTCAGGCAGTCCGCCTGCCTCAGCTTCCAAAAGTGAAGGATTACAGGCGTGAACCACTGTGCCCAGCCTTCACAATTATTTTAACTCCATTTTTGGTAGATGTCTTGATTGTTTCCACTTTTTGTTTTCTGAGCATTTTTTCTTGCTTTTTTCTTTTCTGTCATCTTTGTTGCAAGGATACTTTTTTATTATTTGACCATTGCTGTGATGGGCAGCTTTATATGTGTATCTTGACAAGCTTTTGTGAGAAAATCTTTAAGGTAAATTCTTTTTTTTTTTTTTTGAGAAGGGATCTCACTCTGTTGCTCAGGTTGGAGTGCAATGGCCTGGCCTCAGCTCACTGCAACCACTGCCTCAGGTTCAAGTGATTCTCCTACCTCAGCCTCCCAAGTAGCTGGGATTACAGGCATACGCCACCACGCCTGGCTGATTTTTGTATTTTTAGTAGAGACAAGGTTTCACCATGTTGGCCAGGCGGGTCTCGAACTCTTGACGTCAGGTGATCTGCCCACCTCAGCCTCCTAAAGTGCTGGGATTACAGGCGTGAGCCACCATGCCTAGCCTCCTTTCTTTTTTATCTCCCTGAAAGCCTTTCTTTTCTTTTCTTCTCATTCTTTCTTTCCCAAGAGCTCTTCCTCCTCTGTTCTGCCCCATGTCACTCTTTCTCTCCCCTTCCTCTTTCCATCTTTGTTTAATGTCTGTCTTTCCTTTGTATGGTTATATTATGGCCCTGAAATTTAATTTGTAGATTATTTCACTATAGTTGATAAAGTTTTATATATTTTTTTCTAAAATGCTAATGTATATATTGAAATTCCTTCTCTTGTCACTAGCTAAACAAAAGTAATAAAACACATTAAGTAACTTTTTATTCATTGTAACCCACTATTGAAATCACTTGGACCATAAACCTTAATTTTAAAAAAAGGTTTTTAAATTACTCTAAAGCTTTATATTTAAATATTTAATAGACTGTGCAGAATTTTAACATTTTATAATTTTGAACCTGTTATTCTGGACTAAATCTTCTTGAAGGAGAAACATGTCATAGAATCGTATATCTGTGCTAATATTTTAATATAATACTTAAAGTAGTTTCATTGTTATAGATTAGCAGTAAAGTTCCCAAGGAGGAAAAGGTAGATGTTCACTTACTCTTTCCCTTTGGCAGATTCACACATGCTGAGTTCACCACGTCTTAGGAGCAGACAGCTTCTTTATGATGAGTTGGATGAAGTAAACCCACGTCTTCGAGAACCCCGAGAGCTCTTTTCCATTTTGTCTACCAAGAGACCACTGCAGGCTCCAAGATGGCCAACTGAATGTGAGGTCATCAAGGAAAACATTCATCATATTGGTAATATGACTTATATGTAGTGGTTTTGCCATTGTACCTAACTGTATTACAAGACCTGAGAATGTTAAGTCCTGTGTGCTTAAGTATAAAGCAGGACAGAGTCAACATTCATTCATTCATTCATTCGTTCATTCATTTGAGACAGTCTCACTCCGTCACCCATGCTGGAGTGCAGTGGCAAAATCTCTGCTCACTGCAACCCCGACCTCCCAGGTTCAAGCAATTCTCCTGCTTCAGGCTCCCAAGTAGCTGGGATTACAGGCACCTGCCATCACGCCCAGCTAGTTTTTGTCTTTTTAGTAGAGTCGGGTTTTCGCCATGATGGCCAGGCTGGTCTCAAACTCCTGACACTCAGTGATTCATCCACCTTGGCCTCCCAAAGTGCTGGGATTACAGGCATGAACCACTGCACCTGGCCTAGATCAACATTTATTAACTCACCCTGAAAAAATTGAACTGTGAGAAAGTGATATACACTCATCAAAATCAAGTTACACTAATGTAAACTAGAATACTTCTAAGTTTTTCGGAACTGGAGGATACCTTCCTAGAGGCCAAATATATAAAATACGGAAATCTATTTTCTAGATTAACCTGTTTCAGTGCTTTTTTTTCCCCTTTTTCTGTTTTTGGGGGGAGGTCATAGCATCTCATCTAAAAATACAGAGAAGCGGCTGGGCACAGTGGCTCATGCCTGTAATCCCAGCACTTTGGGAGGCCAAGGCAGGGGGATCACGAGGTCAGGAGATCGAGATCATCCTGGCTAACACAGTGAAACCCTGTCTCTACTAAAAATACAAAAAATTAGCCAGGCATGGTGGTGCGCACCTGTAGTCCCAGCTACTTGGGACGCTGAGGTAGGAGAATCGCTTGAACCTGGGAGGCGGAGGTTGCAGTAAGCCAAGATTGCACCACTGCACTCTAGCCTGGTGACAGAGTGAGACTCCATCTCAAAAAAAAAAAAAACCAGAGGAGCTACCCTGTCTCAGTATTAATGTATGTGGTTGAGTTGTAGTTTTATCAGCCTTGGTATAATTGAAGACTACATGTACCAGAACATAGTTTTTACTGTTTTAAATTATACTTTGAGTTTATTGGAGTTTTCTTGTTGGAATTTTGGAGACTTTTTTATGACATTGTGAATCATAGCTGTGAGCTCTTGCAGCAGGTACAATCTACTGCCTCCATTTTATGGATTAAGCATTCATGGAAGTGGTTGCATTAGCAAGTGGAGACTTCTCTAATTACCAGAACAATTAAGTCTAGCAAACATCATGTATGTCTCTCTTTTATACTGCTGGATAAACAACTGGATGTTCCTCATTTTCTTGTCTCCCTGCTTATAGTATTCATTCATATGTGTTGTCATATCCTAAGCACAGTGCTTCATGCTAGAGATAATAGTGATGAACAAAGTGGAGAGTTCGTGGACCCAGAGTTCATAAACTAGTGGGGAAATTAAACATTTTACCAGACAATTGCATAGTGCTTGGTCCCTCTGAGCACACCTAATCCAGCTTAGAGATCAGCATAGGTTCTCAAAAGGAGTTGACATGTAAGCTGAGATCTAAAGGATGAGTTCTAAATGATCCAGTTGAGAGGGTCAAAGAAAAGTATTTCAGCTGGAAGAAACAGAAAAAGGGCATGGCATTCTTGGGCAACCCTAGAACATTGGGCATTCAAAACAAAAGACAAGTGTGAAAATATAGGGAAAAGGCCGGGCGCGGTGGCTCAAGCCTGTAATCCCAGCACTTTGGGAGGCCGAGGTGGGCGGATCACGAGGTCAAGAGATCGAGACCATCCTGGTCAACATGGT